GGAAAAGAGTTTGTAGAACTGTCTGTTGGGTAACCGCCCAACAGCTGACAACGTTATGGTTACGTTGAATTTTATATTGATTTAAGTTTAATAAAGCTGTAGCCATCGCCCTTATCTACAGAAAAGGGTGTTTGGTGTCTTATGGGGGTGGGGGGCAACGAAAAGGAAGGAGAGGTGGGTCAACGGTTAATTGCATGCTCTATGTGTTTAAGACCCTCCACACAGAGCTCTGAGACATTCATCTGCTTTGCTCAGACCAGAGAGCTTCCAGCTAGAGAGAAGGCTGAGACTGATTGATTTAGACAAAGAAAAGAAAAAAGAAGAAAGGAGCCTTAATTGACTAGTACCTCCATGGGGGATAACCCCTATTTAAAGTAGAATAGAAAAAAAGAGAGAAGTTGGATGTAGCAGTACTAAATGATTAGGAAACCAGGGAATCGCTTAGATGGTATACTAGATACTGAAATGTATAAGATAAAACATCACTTTTAATATAATAGCTAAAAACCCCTTTCATGTAGGGGCAATAATAGATACACACTATCACGCAAAAACTACATAAAGAAAAATTAGAGTGAATAACTTAAAATCAAAATTATATAAATTGTAATGTCTAGAAATCGTCTTATAACAAGATTTGTCACTACTATCTGCAGTTTAATACTGACAGATGCAGCTGGAGTACAATTCTAGGTGAAACTTAAAAAAAAAAAAAAGTTCTTCAATGTACCTGGAGTGGACAGAAATGAACCACTGTGAGCAGGGCTATGGTATAATAGTTTAATAATAAACCATGTTTTTTTAGTTTTGTGTGTGAAATACACATTGTTCCAAAAAAGATTTTTTGAGAAAACGAGGGACTACATTCAAAAGATTTATGACTCTATTATCGGTCTGCTTAGTTCACAGCAGACTATGAAATTTTGGTAGAATAACCTAAATTACTGACGGTTTGATGTCCCCATGAGTTGTCAGATTGTCTACTGACATTAGTTAGCCTTAGTATTAATGCACCGGCTTGCCTATATTTAGCCTTTACGCAGTCTGTAACAACTATCTTCCACGGTGACTATGTAACAAATGCAGCTAATAGATGTAAGGTAAAAGTATCCAGATGATAGTGCCAAAGTCCGCTTGTAAATACATTAGTAGCTAGCTGCTGAAAATATATGTATCAGTCTACTGCTGTACTGTCTTAGGTTAAATTATGGATAGTTGCAGACTATCGAGCTGTTAGAATAAAGAGGAAAAATAAGATAAGATAAACATATTACTAATCTCACTAAGAGGAAAAAACTAAAGTTATCCATAGAAAGTTGCTACAGATATGAACGTAAAGTTGTCCGTTGAAATTAACTAGATGCTGATGACACCTTCGGGTGCTCTAGCTAAGTCATTCACGCCTTATACCTATTCTTTAAATGCTGTGTACAAAATTCTGGTATATGGCTTTAGAGTGAATTAATTCCTCATGTATGTACTGGAGAGCGTTTTCTTACCCAGCAGAACCTCCCCCTTCACTACTAATGTGGCGAAGGAAAGAGATAGAGATGACGACAGGTGAGTATAAGTTTAGAGAGTGAATAATAGTCGGTGCCGATGTAAGGTCTTTTAATACCCCATGCCGATCGCCCCGTTACAGGATGCAGTGTGTTGATTGGGAGCCTGGTATATCTTAGCAGGCTCCACTAACAGGGTATAATGAGATAAAGAGAAAGAGATAGAATATTTTAAAACTCTCCCTACTGTGCCTTCGAGGGCACCCCTTAAGAAAACACTTTCCCTGACCTATGGTAACCAGAGAAACCACCCTCCACATTGGTGATATACCGAAGGGGAAGAATCTGCAAGGGGTAAGTATTGCCTATGCCTATAGAAAATACTCGGCAAGTTCGAGAGTTACGGAGGTTATTAATATAGAGTAGTCATATGGTCAAGCGTTCTGCTGTAGAGTCTGAATAGATAGTAGTCTTAATTGATAAAGCCCTGGTTGCCTTAGCCCTGGTCGCCCTCAAGGCTGGAAGGCTGAGACTGGTGCCATTTTGAAACCTTGTTATATTGGGGGAGAACCAATGCATTTATGGAGGGGTTATGGTCTTCAGAGTGTTCCTTTTAAGCTTTTTAAGTATTGAATGAGTGTCAAATGTGCTTTCTCACAGGACGCTACAAATCCTCTATTGTTATAGGTGCTGTACATTGTTTGCGTAATATTTATTCAATTATGAGTTTTGTTGAGTTGTAAATAGAAAGCTTGCTAGAGTTATTTTACCTGCCAGACTAAATGATTTAGAAAGATTATCAACAAACCACACCTCACAGTTTAGTGAGTTAGCCATTAGCTTGTACTAAGTTTGGCTTTCCTGCTAGACAGCAAGGCACCTGTCTGTTTAATTAGAAACAAATAGAAATGTACAGTAAAATATACAGGTTAGAGGGAGGTGCCACCCTTTTCCTGGTATATGTAAAAAAAATTATTCCAATTATCCACAAAGGGAGGTTTGCCAACTCACAGGTTTTGGCCTGCACTTGGTAAAAGAAGCCGTTTGAACATTGCTCAACCCCAATTATATCAGAAACACTTTGATGAAAAAGATCTTATGGGGATTTAAAGTGCTACAAAGTAAATAAAAGAAAAAAGCAAATGAAACAATGAGAAAGTTTTTAAACATAATTCAGGGGACCACCAAATAGTGCATTGTATATTAAATATAGTGCCAATATGTCCAAGGTTAATGAGTCAAATAATATTTGTATTATATGTATCTACTTTTCTTGAGAATAACTTTTTTTTTCAGACTTAACTTGGCTAATAATATAAATTGAACTTAAGTAGTGAAACCTGCTCCTGCAATAAAAATGGTATTATTCAAACCAAGGGAAAATCGAAATAAAGTATATATAAAACTTATAACAGTGTGAATTAATATATCAGTGGCCACTTTATTATGTGCAGTTTTCAGATTCTGAAAGGACCCCTTTTCCCCATAGAACAGCCTAAATTCTTCACTATGCTGAGTTTTTTTTAACACTGCTCATAAAAGGGGCACTCCTGGCACCATAAAAACTTTATATGTGAAGTTGTTATGGTGCCTTAAGCACAAAGGGCCTAGTATGGGCTAATAATGTATGCCACAACCATTGACAGAAGACATCATGTGCACTTTCATCTTATTGCCTAAATTGTAATGCAATCTGGGAAAAGGTGCTATCTATGAATGGTTAAATAATAAATCTATTTGATGAGTGCAGGTGCACCTACGATGCTTGTTACAATAAGCAAATATCTGTTGCAGACCCTAGAGTAGCAGGTAGATGGCACTGCAACACGGTGTGACCTTACCACTGAGTCAAATAAATGTTTTGGAACAAACTGCCTTTGATACTTGGAATGTTATTTTAGTCAATGTCTTCTCTACTTTACAGACAGCGCATTTCTACTACTTGGAATGGTGTCAGTGTCATATGTAATTTTACAATCTTTTGTAAGTCACTCCACCCTTACAGATCACCCCAATCTTCACTGACAAAATTTTACAACTTTTGCTAGAGCATTAAGCTTTGGCATGCTGCATTGTTGAGATTTGAAGCAGTGCTCTGTCAGAAATAAATTTTTATACGCATTGGCATAAAATAGCATTGTAGATTCGTGGGGAATCACGTAAATAAAAATACACATTGCTATGCGCTTTGATTTAACCACTTCCATCTCAACACTGTATATACACGCCTTAACATGAGTTTAAATAACAAACTAACGTTAAAGTTTAAATCTGTTCAATTGAAAGAAAAGATTTAAAAAAAATTAAATTGCTCTTTTTTAAATGTACACAATTTTAATAGTTTAGGTATCCCTAAACCAATCAATGAATAATTGTGCTATTTTAACTAAACATATGTTTGCTATGTATCTCATAATATAAAATAAATGTTATTTACCAAAAGAACTTTGTAGTGAAAGTTTAAGAAAAAATTAAATTTTTAGACTATATTTTTTTGTAAAGCAAAGTAGAAAACTATATAAAAACCCATTCCTCTTTATTTAGTCATTTTCTCCCATCTTTCTTTGTCACTCCACTCTCAATTTTCAGGACTCCATATATTTTTCAGAACACAGCTCTCAAGTATTAAAGGGACACTGTAGGCACCCAGACCACTTCAGTCCATTGAAGTGGTCTGGGTGCCAACTCCCATCACCCTTAACCCTGCAAGTGTAATTATTGCAGTTTTTATAAACTGCAATATTCACCTTGCAGGAGTCCTCCTCTAGGAGTCTAGCCACTAGAGGGACTTCCTGCTTCTTAGATGACTTTTGCTCATCTAAACGATGCTGGACATCCTCAAGCTATGCATGAGGACCTACAGCGTCGCCAGAATCCCCATAGCAAAGCATTGTGGGGAGGTCTAGTTGTTGTTGCCGCGCATGAGCATTAGATCTCCCTCGCCGACGGATGTCAGCGTGGGTGAAGCCTGACCCAGTGCTGAGGGACATCGGCGCTGGATTCAGGTAAGTGTTCTTGGGACATGCAGCAGAATAGCCACATTCTTGGGTTTGGAGGAGAGAATTGAAAGAGGTTATCGAGGTTGCCATCGAAAGCAGCTGCCGGTACCACCAGCCCTCCCAATTACAGAGCTATTAGCAATGGTAGCAGCTAATGATGTGCTTGTGGAACCTGGCTCACTGTTAACCAGTGGTGTACACACAATCCATGGGGCCCCGGTGCGAAACTGAGAAACTAATCCGTGGGCCCCAATCTGTGCCCCCCCAGCCACATACATACAGACACACACACAGACACACACATATATACAGACAGACCGATACATAGAGACACACACACACATACAGACACACATGCATACAGACACATACACACATACATACAGACAGACACACACACACCCTGGCAGACATACACAGAAACACATACAAACACACACACAGTCTGTATGCATGTATGTATGTGTGTGTGTGTATGTGTGCATCTCTGTATGTATGTCTGTATGTGTGTGTGTCTCTGTATGTATGTGTCTGTATGTGACACACAGAGACACATACATACAGAGACACACACACATACATACAGAGACACACACATACACACATACATACAGAGACACACACACACATATGAACACACACCCATACATACAGTGTGTATGTATGGGTGTGTGTATGTGTGCATCTCTGTATGTATGTGTCTGTCAGTGTGTGTGTGTGTCCGTATGTATGTCACATATACAGACACATACATACAGACACACACTTATATAGACACATACAGAGACACACACACACACACACACACACACACACACAGACACAAACACACATACAGAGACACACACACATACACACACATACACACACACAGACAGACACACACAGACTGACACACACATACACAAATTGTTTAAGTCACCCTCCTGTTTCCTACCTTTTGCAGGAGGGTGACTTTCACTGGGGTCCAGTGGGGGCTCAGCCTAATGGGAGTCAGAGTTCCCACTCTGACTCCCTCCTCCTTCCTCTTGCGCGGCTCTCTGATAGCTGGGAGGAGTAACCGGGGCAGTCACTTCCTCCCAGCTCTATCTGATGTCATCACAGGGGGCCTGGTCACGCTGTTAAAGCGCTGCAGTGCTGACTGGACCCCCTGAAAATCCATATCCATCAGGTGGCCCAAACAGCATGGCCCACCCAATGGACCCCTTCATGTGCGGCCCCGGTGGTTTGCCGCGCGGGCCGGGGCCGCAAAACATGGCAGCAGGTAACCGGTCGCAGGGGTCCACAAGGTGGCCAGGCCCGCTGGAGTGATGGGCCCGGTCGCAGCTGCAACCCCTGTGACTGCGGTATGTATGCCAGTGGGGTTAACACACTCTAAGGCTAAGCCCCATTGACTTTGTCCTTGGAGGCACATGCCATTTAGCATGGGGTTTGGATGTTGCATTCTTTAATGATACATAACATAATAAAAACACAAAACAACTTATTCCTTTAATTTGTTTATTTTGTTAAAAATTAAACATTTGGAGAATGGCCGTGAACCTTTATTACGGATTTCACAATTTAAATTCAAACATCAGCATTCTTAATAATAATAATAATAATAATAATAATAAACCATTACTTATAACCAAAGCCAAAAATAAACCATTAAACATTTCCAGACTCCGCCCCTTGAATCCAGGAGCCATAAATATATATTCAAACCAAATAAACCAATCCACCGTCCTGTGATGCTCGCGCTGCCTCTGCAAACCCTAACCGGCCTCTGCTCCATCAAACCTCATGAGGCTGCTCCTTATTTGTCCGCCCGACATTACCGCTTGTGCTTGATTACTGTGTTATGGTTTCTCTCTCTGTATCTCCTGTCTCAATCTCCAAGGTGGCCCCTTAAAACTGACAGCTATCCTTTGTTTTCATTTCCGCAGAGAATCAAGACAAAATCTGTAAGGGAGTAAGAGGCAGCAAAATTTACGATATCAAGAAGAGGAACCTTGAGTGGAATTGGTAGAGGGAGTGATTCTGGCAATACAAATTAAACTTAGTTCAAAACAAAATCATTTTAATATCCAGGAAAACAAATGAAAAAGATTCCACTTTTATCTGAGAAGCCCATTTATGGCTCACGAAGACAGATTACACTACATAAAATGTTCATTGTTCCTAATAACTCAAGCATGCAACTTTTAATTGATTGATGGAAAAAAACTAGCTTTTTATGTCTGGTTGTTGGCAACGCATCAAACGCCTCCTTTCATTTATTTATTTTTTAAATAGTGTGTAAAGTTTTCATGACATGCCAAAAAAGTCAAACTCTTCTCTATAATGTTCCTCACAAGCTTTTACAAGCGCTAAAAGTGAGTTTCAATTTCCCTAAGATATGAACAATTAACTTAGAATGTCACCTATGGTTTATGTTGTATAGAATTAAAAGTTAGACTATTGAAATATGGGCATCTATATAAAACCACAGATTGTGCTTTATCAGCCTACATCAATGCAAACTATATTTAATCTTCATTATGTTAAACATATTAAGTGCATCCTACTCCCTAGTACTTCAAACACGGCTAAATATCAGCGCAACCAACTTTTTTTTCTTCCAGAAACGAAAGACAAGAAAAACAAACCTTTTAATGTGGATAGACAACAGACATGCAGGTTGCATTGATGATTTTCTCATCCCACCCCGTGAGAGAGACAGTTGGACAGAGTGCACATATTGTTAGTAATATCTATGAAATCGTTCCCAACTGGACTACATTTTGACAGTGACCCATCACACCTCTGAGAGATTTTGTTTTGTTTTTACAATCCATTTAGTATTGACTGCACAGAGGGAGGTTAGATGACTTTAACAAAGAAGCAATAGTTATTATGGTAGCTAATAAAATATATAGCAACATTCATATAAAATCCCTTATATATAAACCCCCCAAACGCTCCCTGGTTTTTTGTTTTGTTTTCAAAACACTTTTTCCTTATCCTTTCCTTATCTATAAATTGGAAAAATCCAGCAGGTAGGCTAAAGCTTTAGTCAAGCTTCATAGTCTTTGTCAACTTTGTCATTGGTCCTGGATCCTGTATTCTCACCTCTCTCCAGTGCAACGTCACGTCATATAGCGCCATTTCACTGGTCCTGTCATTCGACTATCTCGCTATCGCGAAGGTCAACCAAACAGAGTGAACTGAGCATGCACTTGATTTGATGTGCATGCCTAGCTATCGGCAGAGGATGCCATTTCTGGACCCCACCATCTTAGATACTTGAGGAAGGCGCCTAGAAAGAATATCTAGAAGCACCAGCAATACATCAAAATTTGATCCCATGGTCCAAAAATGGATGAGGGGCAGCAGGGTGAACTGATGAATAGATCAGTAGTCTCTCCAAATTGTGACTGATCCACATGAATCCACATGAATCCACAGATCTACTGGACTTTGAAAGATGGAAAGATTTACTGAATGTTTCTGTATTGTTTTTATGTAATTTGTTTGAAGATGAAATTGATATAAAATATATACAATTATAGAATTTTATTATGTTTTTATATTGTTTTTATGCTTTTGGTTAGAGATGAAATCGGTATAAATTATATGCGATTATATAATTTATAATCTATTATGTTTCAAGTCATGGACTGATATTGCGCTTTTTAAAATATTTTTCTATTTTTTATGACATTGCCCCTTTGAATTAATGACGAATTCTGAGAAAAAATAAGATAATTCCTGAGATTGGAATCTTTGGACGGGAACTGAATGTATTGAGATGCCGTGCATTACGAAGAGAACAATCACGGAGACAAGACGCCGGCAACATTTGGATACCGGCATAGAAGAGAGGCATGGACCGCACACGCTGTGCCGGTGGGCGGCACTAGCGTGTGACGACGAACCACACCGAGCATTTACCCGCCGGTATGAAGATATTTAAACCGGCGGAGGGAACCCGAAGGCATTGCATCGATTTTTATCCGGCTGAGGAAGCCAAATTACATTGGCGAAACGCGTACCTGCTTCTAGCCTATAGAGGCAATTTATATTTGTATGTATATTTAATAAATCGTTGTTTTTGATTTTTTTATGAATTTGGGTTCCAGATATATTTTTTAACAAAGAAGGAGTGCAGCCTTCAATCTGCACAACATGGGCTAACTAAGTCATATACTTATGACTCCATGCTTGTGAGTATTACATTTTAAGAATTTATTGCATCCACTATATATATATTCAAACAATACTGCGCAATTGGTTGTGCCACTTATCTTGCAGAATAAGAATAACTCGGCAATAGGGGTGGATCGCCTAAACGGATCCAAAAGCGCAATAGACTGGAGCTGGGCCCACAGCTCCTCGTTTGTGAGTGTGAATAATTATAATTTTGTTTTTTATATTGAATATTGTGTGATCTGCACTATGTTAAATTACCTTTTACAGACATCCATTTGATGTACTTGTTATTACAATATTGCACAAGATATCCAGTTGGTGTATGCGCTGAGACAACTCACATACAAATAGTCTATAAAGTGATTTATCTTTTTCCTTTTGAAAATAAGCGCTACATTTATCTGTTTTGTATTATTTAACCGGATGCCTGTTCATTTGGTAGTTTAAACCATATGAACAGCATTACCCCAGATAGCCATCCCGTGGAGTCTATTCGTATGGAGAACAGACTTTGTGAACACTTTAACTCCATGGCGATTGGACTGTGTGCATACGATCTGAGCGCTATTCTGTACTTTTGTGCGCTCAAATCTAAGCTATCTGAGGATAGGTAGAATGTATATGTTTTGTGCAACAGTTGTAACTTTATACATTTTTATGTCTTTTACTGTCTTTTACTGATATGTGGTTAATGGAGTTTTGCCTCTGTCCTGGGAGATAATTGGATTACTTCCCAATTATCTCCAGGACAGAGGGAGGGAAGTTAGGATGCATTGTGGGGATGTTTTACCTCTGTGTGTACTGTATTGTACTGCAGAGACCTCGAGATGGAAGGATTTCCCCAATTGAGAAGCTCATTTAGCAGACAGAGTAGGACCTGCCAAAGATGGGGTACATTGGCGTTGTGGCAGGCTTATGCAATGTATGATCATATACTGTAACTAAACCCCCATTATATTTTTTTGCCTAGATTAGGTGTTTTTAATAAAACTGAAAATTGTTCAGCATTAAAATGACTGTTTAGTAGATAAGCGAGTGCGCTGGATTTTCATTTTCACTGTACTTATTGGCCCCCAGCAGCACCCTAATTTAGCATGTGTAGGTGAGTGCAGCCAAACCCTTATTTTCTCATATATGTATATATTTAGGAGTCTAGCCAGCTCCATGGGTTTTGCACCCCTCCCTGTTACAGGTGCCTCATCTCAGGATCCTATTTAAGCATTGTACTGCAGAGACCTCGAGATGGAAGGATTTCCCCAATTGAGAAGCTCATTTAGCAGACAGAGTAGGACCTGCCAAAGATGGGGTACATTGGCGTTGTGGCAGGCTTATGCAATGTATGATCATATACTGTAACTAAACCCCCATTATATTTTTTTGCCTAGATTAGGTGTTTTTAATAAA